ATATATTTTATTCAAAAATAAAAACATCATCGATTTCTCAAAATCACATAAAACCATATTATAACATCGACTGAGATAAAGAATAAAATGAAATATTAAAAACACGATGTATCTCGTTGCATTGCGCGAGTACGCTTCTAGTTTATTAAAAATGAAAATGTTTAAGACTTGATCAATCAAAATGAGAAAGTTTAATAGTTTTTTCATTAAAAAAATAAAAAAGTTCAATAATTTTTTTCTTTCAAAAGAAATAGTTGAGGGACTTAATAATTTAAAATAAGATGATTTTAATTTTTTGAAAAATTTCCTTGGCAAAAAGACGATTTTTCTGTTGGGAATGGACCAATAATATCATGTTGCAAAAAGGGGGCCTCGGCTTTGTGGTTGACCACCTCCAAAACAGAATTGCTTTTTTGATGATTAATCCAAAAAAAGTTGCATCCAGCCATTGCATATAAAAGGACCATCTGTAACCAACTCCTTCCAAACAATTTTATTAACTATAGCTAATTTAGACAATATTTTAATCATTTAATTTATTGCTTTATTTTTTATTAAAACAACAGGAAACAAGAATGTAATTTACTCTCTATATTATATTATACTATTATATATATATATATATATATATATATGGTGGGTTCAAATAAAAACCACTCAATTTGTAAAAATCGTGAAAATCTCATTCAATCAATCATAATTTTTTATTTTGTTCATTTTTTTGTAATTATGAGAGGTTGATTAATCATTTTTATTATGGAGGGTGTTAATCATGGATATTATCAWCTTCATTAATTTAATTTTAGAGAAATACATGAAACAGTTTCATTAAAATTTCATTATGTAGTATATGAAACAATTTCATAACCACATATGAAACAACTAATCAAAAAAAATATTATATGAAACAATTTCACAAGATTAACAATTTCATGAAAAAATTTCATAAGATTAACGACGGATGAGAGTAGTTTTTACGGTTTTTACAAATTGGAGTGGTTTTCATTTGATCGCTCATCTATATATATGTTCACATATATTTGTTTTTTATTGAGAAAATTGCACCAAAATGGAACATTTTGGGGAACCAACTTTCAAAATCGTCATTTTGGGGAACCAATTTGCACCTGATTTTTATTTTGGGGAACCAACTTGCAAAATCGTCATTTTGAGGAACCAACTTGCACCTGATTCCTATTTTGGGGAACCAACTTACAAAATAATTATAGAAAAATAACTAAAATTCGTTTTTTTTCCAAAAATTAATGCAATAAAATCTATTTTTCATTTCAAATCTCATTTTTTTTAATTCAGATATCAAATTGAATATTTAAAAAAAAAATCTAAATTACCACAATAAAAATTATTTTTTTACTAATGCAAAAAAAATCAATTTAATAGAAAAAAATTAATTGATGCAATAAAAAATAAAAATCTTGAATGAATATTTAATATTTATTTTTTATTGCATCAATTATTTTTTATATTAAATTAATTTTTTTTGCATTAGTAAAAAAGAACTTTTATTGTGGTAGTTTGTATATTTTTTTAAAAAGTTCAATTTGATATCTGAATTAAAAAAAATTGAAATGAAAAATAGATTTTATTGCATTAATTTTTGGAAAAAAACGAATTTTAGTTATTTTCTATAATTATTTTGCAAGTTGGTTCCCTAAAATTGAACAGGTGCATGTTGGTTCCCAAAATGATAATTTTAAAAGTTGGATTCCCAAAATAAGAATCAGGTGCAAGTTGGTTCCCCAAAATGATAATTTTGAAAGTTGGTTCCCTAAAATAATAATTTTAAAAGTTGGTTCCCCAAAATAGGAATAATGTGCAAGTTGGTTCTCCAAAATGACGGTTTTGAAAGTTAATTCCCCAAAATAAAAATTATGTGAAAGTTGGTTCCATTTTGATGATTTTTTTATTAAGGTTTTTTTTTTTTTTTATGAATTTTGCTTTTGATTTAAATTTTTGAGGTGAATCTATAATTTTTTATTAAGATTTTGAGATGAACTAGGGTGTTTTTTCCGTACTCTGTGTGATGATGTGGAGGTGAAGATCGAGGAGTTGGAAGTTACTGGAGAGGTGTATCTGACATCATGTAATTGGTGAGAGACTCAACTGTTAATAAAGAATAGAATAAATTACATTCTTATCCCTGATTTTAATACAAAATAAAAATACTAAAATATTCCTTTTTAAAGTCTAAATTTTATTAAACCCTTTTCTTATACGATGAACACAAGAATAGTCAAAAATCTTACTCGGTAGGAATAATGATAAAGATAGAAAGTCTTACTCGGTAAGTGAAGGTGACAACTCTTACCCGAATAAGTGTTTATCGGGTAAATTGTTATATACGACATCATTTTAATGTATTACAATCTTACTCGGTAAAATAAATTATAGTGTTGACTTATAACGGTAATTGCTTACTGGATATGTATTTAAGTAAGTTAACGTAACTTTTTGAACGATAGAGATGGGGTATGTCTTAAATTGCAAATTACAATAATTTAATCTATTAGATATTTTAAAATAAGGATCCAAACATAATTCACTCTTAAATTTATGACATTTTACCCAAACATTAAAACACCAAATAAGCAAGCAAGCAGGGTCTACATTATGAAAAGCACAAATTGTGAACAATTGACCTCTTGCAACAATGATTTTGCCAAAATTTTGAGTTTAACATATTACAAAGCAAGGAACACAAACTCCTCAACTGCTGGAATCTCACCAATCCTCCTCAACCCTTCTTTGCTCGGTTTCTCATCCACACCAATCGCCATCACCGCTTGCTTTCTGGGCGAGATCCTCCCCACGCTCATGAAGCTCACGTTCACATTCTCCTCTCCCAGTATGCTTCCCACGCTCCCGATCATACCCGGCTGATCCACCTGCCTGCAAAGTATGAGGTTTCCTTCCAAACTCACATCCACCTCAAAAGCTCCCACTTTTGTTAAATGAGGAACCCCATCTTTCACCCTCCCTTCCACTTTGATTTCTCCCGACTCCGAAATCGCGCTCGCAAATTTCGACTCCACGTTAGCGATCTGGACTTGAATGATCTCGAGCGGCTTCTCAGGTGACCCATCCAAGATGACCCGTTCTTCGCTTATCCGGATTCCTCTTTGTTTGGCAGTGAAGTCTGCGTTCACCAAGTTAACAAAGACGCTAGAGATAGGCTCGATCAGACCTTTGGTAACCATGGCTCGTAGTAGTCTGGTATCCAAATCATCGGGAGCTCTGGCGGAAGCATATGTCACTTTTACCAATTTCACACCACTTCCTCCGGCTACCAATTGCACAGCCAATCTCCCAAGCTTTTCAGCAAGTGTAACGTAAGGCTTCAGTTCTACAAGTACCTGCACCACCAAACAATATATGCATAAAAATCAAAATAAATAACAACATTTCCTTTATTGACAACCTTTTAAAGTTAAATTTACCTATTTAACCAGAAGGTAGGTGATGAGCACACAAGATTCTCCTAATATGTGATATGTATCCCATATTTGGCAACCATAAGCTAGCTTATTTTTTGAGCTTATAGGAAAAACTCTGTAGTTAGCCATAAGCCAACTTTTTTAAAATTTCGGTAAGCTCCAAGGGCTTTTTTTTCCAATTATGCACCATTGTATTTTTTTTCAATTAATTTTTCCACGTCTTTTGGGTTATTTTACATAGTCTTCTAGCTCATTAGCTAGTTTTAACCCAGCATGACTAGTTTATCAACTACTTTATCAGCCAACAACTTATCAGCTAGTTTGCAGCAAACATGCCGTGATACTTGACGGGTGCTTAAAGACGTTTGAGTGTAGCCAAATAATTCCTTTGAACAACTCATCCACTCAAACATACCCATTTTCACGAGACAAAAAAGAATCATTGATTTCATGATGAACTTAAAAGCAAGGAGAAATCATTGCATCTCGCCTATTGGGGAAGACGCTAAAATTAATATAAAAAGCAAATAGTGAATCCATGATTCCGAGCAAGTTCTAGTACCACTTAGATTATAACAAGTAGCTAGCCAGCCCATCACCACCAGTAGATGGGCAAAAGCAAGAAGCCAAGAAGAGTTTTCTTCAGTTTCAAAGTGAAGTTGGCAAATTAGTTGGACGAGGAAGTGAGATGGCGGATATCATGCACTAAATAGCTATTAATATATTTATAAGATAAAATATTTAGCTTCAAGTAGTACCTCTGCAGGAACCATAGGAGCATTTACTGCAGTAGCAGCAAGCTCTCCCCTTAAGGCTCCAACAACAGCTTCAGCTATTTCAATTGCCACTCCTTCCTGCACAAACCTTGAATATGAGACACGAACAATGCAGAATCCAGACAAAAGCCACAACATTTGAAGTTATTGACAAACCTGAGCTTCCATGGTACTGGCACCAAGATGAGGAGTAACGGTGACATTCTCATGATGAACCAACTTGCTATCCTGCGGCGGTGGTTCTACAGTGAAAACATCAAGTGCAGCCTGCAAGTATAGAACAGTTTAATTGAAATATATGAACAGATAACAAGAATCTGTGATAATAAAAAAATAAATACCTGTGCTACAATGCCAGCATCCAGTGCTCTGACTAATGCATCTTCATCTATAACTCCTCCACGTGCAACGTTGACTATTCTCACTCCTTTCTTCATCTTTGCAAAGTTTTCGTCATTCAAAATTTTTGACGTAGAAGGAGTGAGAGGCATGTGAAGTGAGATGAAGTCGGCTGTTGAAATGGCTTCATCAAAGCTCACCAGATCCACTCCTATTGCATGAGCACGATCTGCTGGAGCATAAGGATCATGTGCAATTATATGCATACCAAGCCCCTTGGCACGCCTGGCAACTTCTGTCCCAACCTTCCCAAAACCCATCACAGCAAGAGTCTTGCCAACAAGTGACACACCCACGTATTTGTTTCTCTGCCACTTCCCTACAGCGGTGACATTGTCATTGACTCATCGATTTATATAGTGAATTCCAAGTGAAACAACGATCAACAAGCCTTTTCCAGAGTGAGCAAAGTGACATGAGAAATAAAGATATGTATAAAATCAATCATCTAAGTACACTGTGATAAATAAAGATATGTATAGAATATATTTTGAATTAGGTACCTGCTAACAGACAAGAATCAACAACCTTCTTCAACAAGAAAAATTAGCATTAGCTAGTGCTTATTAAAGATAAAGGATCATGAACAACAATTTATTGCAGAAGTTGAATTTGAATACAAAAAGAAGACAAGAAACACAATTCAGTACATCATGCAAACTAGTTAACAGACCAGAATCAACAGAAGGCAATTTCAATGCAAACTAGTTAACAGAAAGCAATTTCAAGAAGTTATACTTCAATGCAATTACTAAAAAGACTGAACATATTGGCAATTGAAGATGACCAACGCTCCACGTCATATTGGTAAAATCAGTTTATGAACACCACATGTTCGTGTACTCAAAAGTACATCACAATTGAACAGAAATGTTCTGATTAGTTCGAATCTGGCATAAAAAGAAGGAACAGAAAACCCATGCTTTGCAAGCTATTCACAGCATAGCATGTGAAACGGGAATATTGATCACATCTTGTTGATTTAAGAACAGAATTTCACATCTTATCGGTCAAGAAGCAGTGTATTCACGTGTTATCTATTTGGAAAAAAGATGTACTAATTCGCTTTAAGGATCAGAGGTATCTATCTAATAAAATAAACCTAAGAAACTAGATCTAGGTAATGGTCTTAGAACAACAAACAGACCGCATTCAACATGATAGGTATATGACGAAATGCTGAAAAGAAACAATTTATCACTAAATGAAATAATCACCAAGTTTCAAATTGACAAACGTATATCTGGAATTGTAGTGTACAAACCAGCTTTAATCGATGCATCAGCCTGAGCAACATTCCTCGCCATAGCAGTAAGAAGAGCGATCCCGTGCTCAGCAGCCGCAACGGTATTAGCCGTCGGTGCGTTAACCACGAGACAACCATGCTCCGTCGCCGCGGCGAGATCCACGTTATCAATACCAACGCCGGCTCGTCCAACAACCTTTAGCCGACCGGCGGACGATTCGAACACCTCACGGCTCACTTTAGTCCCACTCCTCACAATCAAGGCGTCGCAAAGCGAGATCTTAGTACAGAGTTCCTCAGGACTCAAGTTATACGAGCAATCGACGTTAGCAAATCCTTTCAAAAGGTCAATTCCAGCTTCTCCAAGCTTCTCGGCCACAAGGATGGTAGGTTTGGCATCCATGGAGACAACGACGAAAACCGGAGACGCGCGACGGCGTTGGTGACGCGGGAGAGAGACGTTGAGAGGAAGTCTCCATGAGAGAGAGGATAGAGTGGATTTCTTCAGTGATGATGGAGCTGAAAGGATGATCGATGAAGCTAAAGCCGCCATTGTTATGGTGAATTTGCTTTTCAAATCTCTCCCTCTCCCTCTCTCTCTCTCTCCCCTTCAGTCCTGGTATCTGGTAACGTGCGCGGTAGAAAAGGGCTGAATGGGGGCTGTTATTTATAGTGGCGCTGCACATTGTAATTCCGTGGATCAATGGTTGGTGAAAATAAAAAATAATATAAAAAACAATTGGTTATGGTAGCGTCCACATTTGTTACATTTTAACAACTTGTGAATTTTAATTTATTAGCATTAAATATTCAGAAAAGGCAAAAAAAATTGATAACATATTATAATAAATAATTTATTATCATAAAAAATTGTAATTCATCTTTATATATAAATAACCGATAAAAAATATGTATATTTAAATGAGTTTTTTTTTTCAAATACTAATATACCATTTTTTATTAACTATTTTAATATTTTCCATTTTTTGTATTAACCTAGATATTCAACTCGCTATGCGAGCCGACTAATCTCAGGATGACCACCTGCTTTGTGGGTAGAACTTTCGTAGCCACAAGAGGATTTTTATTTCTCCTTGGATTTGAACCTGAGACCTTCTGGTACTTTTGATCTTTGGAGTCAAGTTCAAACCAGTCAGGCACCACCCTTGTGGCTAACTGTTTTTTTTTTTTATCAACCTGGATATCCAACCGCTATACGAGCCGACTAATCTCAAGACGATCACCTGCTTTGCGGGTAGCCTGGAATCACCGCATTTGAACCTCTGTGGCCACAAGAGGGGTTTTATTTCTCCTTGGATTTAAACCTGGGACCTTCAGGCATTTTTTTTCTTTTAATTAACATAGAAAAACGAGGTCCTTTGTCTCTGATTTCTTTTTAGAAATCGAATTTTCTCAAAACAAAAAAATTAGTAATTTCGACTACAATTTGATAGGAAATAATTAGATCAGATTATTAAATAATCTTCCCTCATTATGCATAGTTTTTTTAAACATGTTTTTTAACTGCATTTCCGCAAGTTTTATATATTATCATTTTTTTACATATTTTATCTCATTGGTAGTGGATATGCTAACTTGCCAAGTTCTAATTTGTTTAGGGAAAAACACAACTTACAAAATAAGAGTTTTTTTATTCTCCGGATCATAATTGTTTCGTTTATTCTTTGTCAAGTTATTCTAAACTACAAGAGTGGTGTTTGATTGGTTTGATCTTAGACTTCAAAGGTCAAAAGTGTTTGTATGTCTCAGGTTCGAATTCAAGGAGAAAAAATCCTCTTGTGGGCACGGAGGTTCAAATGTGGTGATTACGGGCTACACACGAAGTAGGTGGCCGTTTTGCAATTAATCGGCTTGCATAGCTGGTTGAATATACATATAGCTAAAAAAAACTGTCGTTTTACACTCATACATATCAACATTAACTATATTTTTTTTACATGTTCAATGTAATAATTAACTACATTTTAACAAGAAGGATTCATTTAATAACAAGTATATGATTTATTTATTTACAAATAATTATATAAA